TGGATTAGACGACAATGGCTTCGAAGACCAAACAGAAACATGATTCCTTTGCCATTTGGCGGGCTCACTAAACTTAGTTGTAAATGTCCGTGTTTTTGCTGACAACCACTAGGTTCAAACCCCGCCAGCCACTTAGGATATTGAATTCATCAGCCAGGCAGCGTGTGATAGAATTTGGCAGGATGATAAATAACCAAGAGCGGGGACACGGGGTTGTTTCAAGCGAGCGAAGCTACTTGTTCGACCTGATTCGTGTAGATGTTTTCTGGGTGTGGCAAGGAGCATTCCATGGGATGGAGCAGCATGCTGGACCCACGGATATTCAAAGCAACCCATTTGACAGAGGTCTTCGTCCAAGCCAATCGTATTCCATTGCAAGCCACGCAGGCCGCCAAATTCCTTTGGTTTACAGGAGGTGCCCCAAGCCTCAAACAGACGTGGCATGCTTCGAGTTTAGTGGCCCTGCGCATGCTGCGTTCTCGGAATCCTTGCAGCGGTCAGGTAGCGTTCAGCTGTGAGGAGCTGTGACTGTGACTCCCACTGACTCGCTGACAGCGCGCTTTTACTGCATGGTGATGCGCCGCTGGCTCATATAAGCAAGTTGCAGCGTTTGAGAAAGAAAAGCGGCTGGACGCGTGGAATGTCAGTAGCCCTAGACCCAACAGGACCGGTGCAAACCCAAGATACAATCTGGATTAAAGCAGGATGCAAGCCGTTTTTCGGGTGAGTACTGAGCAATATAAATGTGTGTGAAACTCTGAAGTCATTGCTCAGTATCTTAGAGCGTTAGATGTGCGCAGTCAGCCAGCATTGGTCAATGTTTTTTTTCCGAAAGAACGCAGCGGATTGCAACCATGGGGCTGGCAAGTCAAAAAGATGACCAGCCGGCTGGGTTGGGCCGCCATGCATTGCATGATCAACATCCGTTCGCTTCCCTTCAAGTAAGCGGGTGCTAAATTACCCACAAGTTGAGGTTTTCACCAAAGGAAGCCCCAAGGAGTTGCAGCTTTCACTGATGGTTGGTTTCTTGAAATGGGTGTGTCGTTCGGGGGAGACCACACTTTCTCGGTTTCGAAGGGTGACCAAATTCACTCCAACCCTGTTGGAGTGCGGCCTTGGACTTCGCAGGCCCCCCTCAACTTCCTTAATTGCGTTCATAACACTAACCTTAGTCTCTTGGGTTTTTTTGGGGGGAAGGGTCCCTGTGGACGCCTGTGAAATAATGATGGTTCATTGGCAAAGTCAAGGAAGGCATTTTTTCTCAATTACGAAGGTGGTCGGATTGGGATGATGTTTCTTGTTACGCCCGTTCGACGATTTGTTTTCACACCTTTTTGCCTCCTGGTATGCCTATTTGGGGCGGGGGTTCTCGGAAGAGGAACTTTGTGAGTGCCGAGAAGTCGTATAAAAAGCAGCTTTATCAATTGCAATTTTAGCCGGAATTGGACATTTATTTAAGGCAAGCATATGTGCATATATATGTAGATCCATGTATTTATATATATATATATATATTTATGCAAACTATACGCAGCCAAACTTACGTAGCCTGGCTTACGCAGCTTGCCTCACGAGCCTATCTTGCGCAGCCCAGCCCACGCAGCCTGCCTTACGCAGCTCAGCCTACGCAGCCCAAGCTCGCTGTAAGTCCATCTTCTTTCTTAGCCAGGGGTGGGTCTGGCCGGCACTGGCGGGATGAACCCTTTGCGGGGATCGTGCGAGTCGGAGCACTCTGGCTGTGGCACCGTGCGACTTTGAAAGCTCGCCGACGAACCCTTTGCGGGGATCTTGCGTGTCGGAGCGCTCTTGTTGTGGCGCCGTGTGTGTTTGAAAACTCGCCGACGACCCCTCTGCGGGGATCGTGCGTGTCGGAGCGCTCTTGTTGAGGCGCCGTGTGTATTTGAAAGCTTGCCGACGTACCCTCTGCGATCGTGCGTGTCAGGTCGCTCTCGCTGTGGCGCCGTGCAGCTTTGAAAGCTCGCCGACAAACCCTCTGCAGGGTCGCGCGTGTGATCGCTCTCGCTTTGGCGCCGTGCGATTTTCCCAACGATAGTACGAAAGTAGCGCACAAAGTACGCGACTTCTGTACGTTAAGCTCGAAAGTAATCCCCCTTATTTGTACTTTCATGGGGGGGGTGGGTGACCATTCTGAATGCCTGAAAACTTGAATATTTTGAGTGGTTGGTTTCGGCTGAGTAGGTTAGCACCCTCATCTTATTTTGCACCGACCCTGTGTTTATTTGCGCTTAAGGAAGGTAGCCTTTGAGGGCCAAAAGAAGGTTAGCGCAGATTTTTTGGTCGGGGGCCAGGTCCTACCGCTTAATGTTCGATCAATTTTGGGTCACGTGAGTCATGTTATTTTTTGCTTGTGCTTCGTTATCATGACCCCGCATTTTCTTGGCAACCTAGGCGAACCCAGGAATGAGAGATTGAGTATTGGCGATGCTAAGTTTAGCCATGGCAATACTGAACCCAGCAATTGTCAATACTGAATTTAGCAGTGTCAGCACTGAATTCAGTTTTCTGAATTTAAGATCAAGTATTGACGATACTAAAAAGAACAGTTTTGGCAGCGCCAAATTCGGTATTGGCAATTTGGGGATCTAAGATTAAGTATTGACTATACTGAATCTAGTAGTTGGAATCTAAGATTACGCATTTCATAGACCAGACTTTCAACGTTTGGTTCAACGTTTCCCCCGACAACCTCCCTCCCCCAAAAACACACCTGCATGCTAGATTCAGCACAGAGAATCTGAGGGTCAGTCTTGGCAATGATAAATTTAGAACTGCCAGTCCTAAATTAAGCACTGGGAATCTGAGAGTAAGATTTAGCAACACAATTTGGAACTGGCAATGCAAAGTTATGCACTTTGAATCTGAGAGTCAGTTTTGGCAATACACAATTTAGAATGGGCAATGCTAAATTAAGTCAGAGCAAGCCTCAGACATACTCAATGTAGAACTGGCAATGCTGAATGAAGCACTGGGAGTCTGAGAGTAAGTCTTGGCAATACAAAATATAGAATTGGCAATACCAAATCAAGTACTGCGCATCTGAGAGTAAGGCTTGGGAAAGGTTAGACAATGAGGATGTTAGGCTTTGGGGTTAGCACCGTGGCCATTTTAGTTTGCGACCTCTTTCCCGAGACCCAGTTTATTGTCGCCAGGGGGCTAAGGTTTCTTCTCGCGGGGCCCCTAATCGGTAACTTTTGGAAGAAACACTTAGCCCCCCCCGTTTTATTTCAATAAAACGGGGGTCAAATTCCTCAAGGGAACAAGACAGGGGGAGTTCCAGTACGAGAAGTACACTTCACCAGCTCCGGTTCGAAAATTGCAGTAGTCTGCAAATCAGCTCTGGCTCGAGGATCGCAAGTTCAAGTGCGAAAGTGGTACGCGAAGTACATTTCCGCAGATTCGGGCGAATCTAAGTGCAAAAGTAGACCGCGTAGCACACTTCGGCAGCTCCCGGCTCGAACATCGCAAGTGTTAAGCGCAAAAGTAGTACGCGAAGTACACTTCTGCAGCTCCGGCTCGAACACATCTCAGTACAGCCTTGGTACACAACACATTTCAGCATCGCCTTGCCTCACAGCACATCTCAACATAGCCTTGCTTCGCAGCGCAACTCAACATAGCTTGGCTACACAACAAATTTCAGCATAGCCCTGCTTCTCAGCGCATCTCAACATGGCCTTGCTGCGCAGCACATCTTAACACAGCCTTGCTGCGCAGCAGATCTCAACATCGCAATGCCTCCCAGCACATCTCCTCGTAGCCTTGCTTCACACCACATCTCAACATACCTTTTCTGCGCAGCGCATCTCAACAAAGCAGTGAACAGCTTTGCTCTGCGCAGCTCTGCTCTGCACAACTCTTCTTTGCGCAGCGCTGGGCTTGCGTCGGCAACCGCGTTGTTACAATAAGCTTTCGGGCTAATCGGGGTCTAGTTCAGCTAATTCTGGTTCTGGCACCTGCTGCCTTCAGGTAGGAGAACTTTAGATTTTTCGAAGGAGGGGGCCCAACGTGTAAAAGCATGTAAATAAATCAGATGGCACAAAGGAGCTCCTGGTAGCTTGCAGGGCTGCAACCTGACACCCCTTGCTTTGGATGGCTCAGCTTTGGCTTCAGGTGTCTTGTCCTTTTCAAGAACAGTGGACGGCAAGGATCCTTCTGAAAAGGCACCTTGTCCATTTTCAGTGGGGACAGGATACTGAGTAAGTAACATTGTTTATAAACCACGTAGGGGGCTAGCAACTTACTAAGACATGATTGCCGCAAAAGTGCATGCAAGGCTCGTGCTCTGAGATGACCTGTGAGCCGCGGAAGTCTGAAGTTACAGCCTTCTCACAGCCGTTGCCACGCACATGCCCTGGCAGCTGGACTTCCCTTTGCAGAGAGCGGTTCCTGCTTGCATTCATACCTCGAGAGTGAGCAACGGGACATCATTGCACGCATGAATCTACGTGGGTACGTGTAAATAACATTTAGTCATGATGTGGATACAGGTTTCAGAAATGCGCGCACGCATAGATACAATCGTGATATGCGCGTGAGATTGAAAGAGGTAGAACGCAAGTAGATGGTCGTCCCTGGCTACATTCTGCAAAGCCGGGTGTTGGAGATGGGGTTTTTTCGAGTCCAATTCCTAGCCTTTCACCGCCTTGGCACAGAGCCAGGCTTCGAGGGCGCGGCAAGTATTCTTTGAATTTGAGGAATGCCACCAGTGCAAAAGGGCCAAACGCCTGGAATGCATTCAGCTCCCCAAAGACTCCCAAAGTCGACCCCGAGGTTACGAAAAAGCCCAAGGAAGCTCTCCATTAATGCGATTGCGATTACTTGCCCAGGGAAGCTCGCCACGGCCGAAAAACTCAATAGTTAAATGTTTGCGCCATGGCACATTTCGGTCAGTTTAAGACCCTCTTTCAAGCAATGGAAGGGAGAGAGGGGTTTGGAACACTATGTCCACTCCCATGGACATGGCCAAGCCTTCCGCTCAGGCCTGTTCCTCCAGCGGGCAGCTACCTCCACAGACGATCTTGCCAGGGCCACGGCACATGTGCGGGTTGGTCACCTTCCCTCGCGAAATTGGAGCGACGCGCAAAGCCTCAACCATTGGACCACAGGAATAGCCATTGCACCTGAGTCAGCCGGATGCCATCTCGCAGCATTGCGCACCAGCCCCAATCCGACCGACCGAGAGAGCACCGTGTCAACAGAGTCTTAGACGAATGCTCGTATCACAGCATAGGGATTGGCCCTTGGATGGCAGATGGAGAGCCGCGCTTTGCCGTAATTACAAATTTCGACACTGGCTACGAGGTCGGCTTTCAATGTGCGCCTTGGAATCGAGAAATTTAACCAGGTCCTCCTACTATGTGCCGCGGACATGACGGAATCGTTGACTTGGCTTGGCTTGACTGATGTTCTCTGCGGTGGCACTGACGACTTGTTGAACCAGCTGAGGCCGCCGTCAACGATCAATACTGCCAGCGATGGGGTCATCGCTTTCTGCCCTGCATCCTTTTACGCGAAGACATGGAAAGGGTGTGCGAGGGCCGGCACTTTGCATGGGCCAAGGTGGCACCTTGTCTTCATTGGAGTAGATGTCAGATCAGTCAGGGTGCTACATGAGATACATCTGACCAGATTTATCCACATGTCCCAGCTCGCTGAGTGCTGGCAACATTGCTGGCCCTTGATCCGCTGAAACTTGCTGCTTCTGGCAGTGCAGTGCCTCGTTTCCCACAGCTGGTTCTGGTAATGGTGCCGTGTCGTTTGAACATGTTTACACCACTGCTGTTTCAGCATCCTCATTCGGGTGTCCCTTCGAATAACATCAACATGGGTCCTCCCTCCCGATCAAAAACAAAGCAGCAAACTCGGAGTTGAATCCGGGTCCCTTGCCTTCCATCCGATTTTGCCCCTCAAGCTATGCCCACTGGCTAGGCGCTGTTCACCTGGCTCTTCACCCCAGGGCTGGCCTCCAAACCTGCCCAAGAGGTGTTCAGCGCCTGGTTGGGCGAGGAGGCGCGCGCTGTGGCCAAAGCGCGCCGCAGGGTTCAAGGCTCCCTGGGCTGTTTTGGGGGGAGGGGGTTGGTCTAAGGGTTTTTCGGGGGGTTTTGTTTATGGCGAAATCCAAGCTTTGCTTAATGCTCGAATTTGGGGTATCACGGATGAGTATGGATCACTGTCTAGGGAACCGTTGCCCAAAGCCGAGCCGACCTTTCGGTTTCCCGGTCATCCGTTAGTTAGGGGTGTAGATTCGGGTGAGAATCTACACCCCCTTCTGCATTTCAGATTTCCGAAGCTCAGAAGGCACCAGCAACTCCAGGACCGCCAAAGGCTTCTGCAAGCCGTGGACTACATCGCTCCCTTGCTGAAATTTGTTCGGCGTTCACTTTGGGTTGAGGCAAACAGCTTGAAAGCGTTGAGGCACATATCGCCAGACACAGGGAATGGCCGAGTTGACTTGCGGATGGACACGGTGAGACTGGCTGACGAGGGCTCTGGTGTTGTTCCACGCGCTTGAAAGGCTTTATTTGCAAGTGTTTCATGAATGCGTCAACACGAAGCGAATGGTCGGCGAAAGAGGTGTGGATCGATGGAGATGCCATGGTACTGGATCATGGCCGCCAGCTCAGGGACTTCGTGACCCGCTTCGCCAGGAGCGGATGGGACCCGGAGGAAACGTTTAATCCCACATGCCGGGATTCTGATATGAGTGGACCTTTTAGCTGGCAGAACGGGTACTCATGGCCTTACACCGGTGGCTGTTGTTGAAATTGGTCTTGTTGCAATTTTCACCATTGATGGCAGTCAAGTAGAAGCATGTGAAGGCAAAACAGTTCAAGCAGTTGTTCCATGTCCCTTTGGCTAAGTACCCTTGTTTGCCACGTGCTGCAAGGAAGGCGCTCATACTGGCAGAAGACATGTCTTGGGCCGACTGCCTGAACACAGGCCGCGAGTTGGCTGGGGCGTGGGGAATGATTTGCCTGGAAATTTGGCTGTTTCGTCACAAGTTGGACTTTTGTGTGTTGAGCCGGCACACTGTAAATATTCGGGAGCGTCAATTCCTTTGGATGTCCTTGATTGGGTCCAAGCCATCCCTCCCCCCCGACATTCCCAGCATCCTTGAACAAATGGAATGGGGGATGACCCTAGGATTCCCGCTGCCATTTGATCCTGTTTGGATACTGTCCCAGGTAGGACCTCAAAATTGTGTGATAAACTTCAAACCCCTGAGATATCCTCGCAAGTGATTGTTAGGCTTCCATGATTGAGAACCGTGGCTTGCCCGCAGGCGTTTTCTTCGCCCGCACAGATTCCCCGTGGCTGCGCAGCTTCTGGTCTGACGCGTGGCATGGCGCCCACCAACGGTTTCACCAGGACGGGATCTTGGCCAGTCGGGTGGCTGACAAAAGCCACCGGAGGTTTGGGTACATGGGTCATGTTACGTTTCGAGCTGCCATAGAGGAAGTGTTCTTCGTTCGCTACAGGTGCTAAAGCTAAAGCTGGAAAGTACTGAAAACACAAAACATCGCAAGACCAAAAAGGAGCTAAACAAAGATAACCCAGGAACTCTAAAATCAACGGGGTTAAGCAACCTCAGGACCCGTGGCGCTTTTGAGGGGAAGGAAGCGACCATCCAGGAATGATATACAACACGCCATCCATGCGAATATGTTTGCAGTTGAGACATATTCCCATGGTCGTGGGGCCACCTGGGTGCCCCCTCTCAAAGAGGGCATGCCTGAATTCGACACGGCGAGTCGCTGGTTGGAGGCGCCCTTCTGGGACCAGAGCGGGATATGCCAAGAGCTGGGAAGACGGCGTGAGCTGCGACCACAGGCGCACGAGGTTCATTTGAACACAGTGTGCAGTGTGCATTGCAGAAATTCCCAACGCATGGCTCTAGGCTTTTGAAGTGTGAACGGTGCCAGTGTACTTTTGCAACATATATGTTACAGTCATGCTTCCGCCTCACGCGGCGGGCGCACTAACATCAGCCAAAGGTCACCCTGGTGCTTCAAGTTTAGGCCTGCAGCAGGGGTTCACATTGCCTAGCTGAGATCTTGAGTCTTGTGATAATTTGTGATAGAAATCCGAGTTTGACATGAGCGAAAGGACGGCCCGCAGGTCCTGGGAGCCATGGCTACGGGCCTCGGCTCCGGGCCGTGGTTCAGCTGGATGGGCGGCTCACTGCTCAAAGAGACGCCCAACCTGGGGATCTGGGACGCCGCCCCCCGACCAGACATTACGCGCACGCCTTGGCTGGCTTCTCCCAAGGATGGCGGCAAGGGCCCGAAGATAGGTATAGAGGAGGCGTAGCAGATTTGAGAGCCCTCTACCATTCCGCGCTCTTTTGTTTGATGTTTGAGCAGAGCGTGTTGTTCGGCAAGCAAGCTACGTGCATGAGGGTGAGAAATGCTAGACTGGGAAAAGCTCCTGGGTGACTTCTCCAATCAAGCGATCAAGCATGCTTTGTTTCTCAGCCTACTCAACTGGAACCATTGCTGTTCTTCGCATCAGGGCAGGCGGTGTCACGGCAAGAGAGCAGTGCCAGAACTCATTTGAGGCCTCATTGCAATTTGCGAACCCCCTGCACGCGCAATTCATCCTTCATCTCTGCGGATTTTCGTCCAAGCTCAAACTCTGCAGGCCAGGACTGGTTCGGAAATCGGGTTGTTCTGCACGCATTGCAAGCTTGTTTTTTTTTCTCCCTCAAACGGCCAGGTCGACCAGTGCAGCCTTTTGCCTTCGCAGGAGCCTGTGCCAGAGCGGCGTGCTGCGAAGCTTCAGCTTCAAGGAGCCGGATGCGGCGTCCAGGAGCTTTTTGTGGACGGCGGCTGTGGATCTTTTGCGTGCACAGTCACTGCAGGGCACGCGCTGTTGGAGTCTCGGCGGTTTGGAACCCCTGGCAGGGACAGGCTCCACAAGTGGCTTGGACAAGACCTGGGTGTGGGTCAAAATTAAGCCAGGGGACCGCAGGTTTTAGTCTTTGGTTCCGTGATGTTCCATGTGCCAGGGTTCCATTTTGGGTACCGAGTTTTGACCCACAGCCACCTCAATTGCTCTGAAGGCTTTTTGTTTGCAGAGAGACTTTGGAACAGAGAAGACTGAAACCATGAAGCCCTCTGCGCTTGTCGCGCCGAGGCGCTGATGTAACGCTTCCCGTTCCAGACATGCTGCGCTTCCACAGCATCCGGGCGAATTGGGGCGAGGCACCGACGCAGCAGCCGCAGAGATCGATCCGTTCCGGGGGGGCTCCACAAGTCTATACTTGTCAGTAGGATAAATTGCTATTTTGCATTGTCTTAGAATCGGCGATCACAATTGTAGTAGGATGTTTGGAGTTGGGACAACCAATGCGTGTTACTAGGGGAACGGATTATTGGCAGTCCAAGTTGTTCAATAGCACCTGGATTATGTTCTTTTCTTCGCGCTTGTGAAACCGTGGCGTTTGAATGGCAGCTAGGCGTCTAACGCGTGGGCAACATGCCCACCGCCAACTTTGTCCTCTCTGAGTGTTGCGCAGTACAGTTCTGACCCATACATTCTATTTCATGTTGCTACGGAAGCATAATGGGCAATAGGCATTTGGGTCAGAAGAAGTCGCGCCAATGCGGCTTCCTAAGGACAGTTGTCCACTGCATTGATGGCGAGCAACTACCGCCCGCAATGCGCCCCATGGCTATTAGGCAGGGTTTCAGGCTTGGAAGCTTTCCGGATACAGCAAACCGAGCCACTGAAAAAAGTTCAGCTGTTCGGAGGAGACCGCCAACTCAACTGCAAGAGCGCAAAATAAATTCCGCAAGCCGGAAACGAAAACTGGCTCTCCCTTTTTTGACACCTAGTTTGCAAGCTTCATGGTGCTGACACGACAGCTGCTATCTTCGCACCCTCTTTGAAGCGAGGCTCCATGCGCGTGAAGCTGTGGCAGATTTGTGACTTCGTCCGGGGCTGGCCACCTCCATGTCATCCTGTGCTGGGCAAGCTTGGCAACAGATGGTGCACGCGTTGGGCGTCCCAGCATTGCGGAGTTGTAGGCGATGGTTGGCACATAGTACATAGGTTTCTTAGGTCCCAGGACATACTTCGAGAGGCCAGTGCCCTGGGGCGATGCATAACAGTGAAAGCAGCATACTTGAATCAAAAGGGGTTTTGTTTGCTTTGTAGTGCTATTAGCGCTTTTACCTTTCAGTGGGGCGGGGGTGGACAAATGCATGGCTCTCAGGGCTCCTTTCAGATCATTTGCGCGTGGGTGCTGATTGGGGGAGACGTGTTTGTGACCGCTGTGCAGCCAGTGCCTTCCACCCCAATCCCCATGGCTGAAGGAAATGCAGCTCCAGAAACTAGGGACACCTCGATTGAAACCCCTTCCTAGTTTTTCCTTTGCACCCTCAAGAGCGCTTTCTTCTGGTGGGTTCCTCACTCTAAATGGTCATCCCCGCAAGCAACTTGGCGTTTTATCCGCTGGGACTCCAATTGGGCTCAAGGTTGGCCATTGCCCGAGAAGGTTGCTCTGGGTGGAGTGGCAGCACCTGCACAGCTTCATCTCTACCCTCCAGGAGGGGGATGAGGGATGATGGGGGATGATGGGCAAGCAATGAGCGAATATTTTTGTTTTTCTGCATTCTCGAAAATGGTGATCTTCCATTTTCTGGTGGTCGTTGGTGGTCTACGCCCATGCTTGTACAAGCATGCACCCTGCGAGGTGCACGCATCAAATTTCATGCGCCAGGCTCGGACAGGGCAAGCTGGACGCCAGAAGGACGTCGCTCCAAGACATACTTATGTTTGTTGCACGCTTGGCAGGAGTTTGGCCAAGTTTCTTCGACCGCCAGCCGTGCAAGCACCGACTCCCGCACATCTGTGTGGCATTTTCCCCAAACAGCTGCCAGTGTTTTTCTTTGAGGGCACTTGTCTTGTTGGTGAAAGAGGAAACAGGAGGGAAATCGACCCATTTGGGGCCGACTGGGTCGACTGTGAGCCCTTTGCGCAGGCGCCGGGCTCACCTTTTGGGTCCTCTCCGGCTCAGTGGCCTGTGACTTCCAGCGCGGCCCATCGCAACTGCAGGAAGGCCAATAGGGATGGTTGGCATCGCAGACGGGGCCAACTAAGACAACCAAGACCTGGGTTGGTCTTTTGTTGTTGAGCCCATAGGTGTCCTTTTTGGTTGGTTTGCTTAAACAAAAATAGAGGGCCCTGGTTTAGATGGGGTGTATTCCATCTACCAGGGCCATCGAATTTTCCAACAGGCCACCTATGGTTGAGTCGCATCCAAAGGCAGAAGGTGGGATCTTGGCGAATCATACCCCCGAATCATACCGCTTCAAATCGTATCCTGCAAGATGCCACTTTGCTTCTACCGTTTGTGTTGTTTACTGTCTCCACACCATACCCGGACTATGAGCTTCCTTTGCCAAGGCTAGTGCCAAGACTTTTACAAAGCTTCCGCACCACTACAGCCGCTGCTGCTTCTGCTGCAACAACTTTTATTACTGCTACTTCCACTACCGCTGCTACTGCTGCTACAGCGAACCATACCCGCAAATGGTACTCGGCACTAAAACCTTCTTGCCCGGCCACCTCAAAACATACAAACCCAGAAGCCATCGAGATCACTTTGTGACAATGTCATAAACGGCACGGGCAAGGAAAGGAAGCACGAAAAGAAGGAATGCAGGCAGGCAGGCAGGCAGGCAGGCAGGCAGGCAGGCAGGCAGGCAAGCAAGCTGGCTGCACAGTGCGATACTAGGCGATGCGGAACGTGTGGTGAGGAGAGAAGGTTACCTGGAATGCTTCTCAAGAGGGGACTTCACTTGGCCGGAAGGTGGAGCGCTCCGACTCCCTGCAGGTGAACAGATGCTGTGCTCCTGGGACCAAGTTGAGGATCTGCTAAGATGTGACATGCGGCTCGAATACTTGGCTCCAACATGTTCCGAGGTCCGGTCCAAGGTTGAATTTCCCATCCCAGCTTGTCACATTGGTGTTCATGACCTCAGGTGCTCACAGGGTGCACAACCGAAGAAATGGGAGGGGGCGGGGGTTTGCAGGCATTGCATTGGCTCCGACTGCGGCGCTTTGCCAACTTACCAGGCGCGGCGTGATCGCCCGCTTGTGCCGGGGTCACACTTAAGACAGCATGCAGTAGGCGTGATCTCGCTGCAGAGAATGATGTTTGTGGCATCCTTTCACCGGAATCTTATATAGCTGTATCTGGGAGTTGGACACTGAAACTCTTACAAGCTATCCAAAACTATGGGTCCAAAAGTTTGCAGCTAAAGCCTCCTGCCATTGCGTCAGAGTTGCTGCACAGGCCGGACCAGACACAACTCGCAGAGCCGCTGGGGTGACGTGGCAGAGATGATCAAGGGCCTGCAGGGGTCGGGACTCAGGAAATATAGCACCCCACTGACAGACGGAGGGGGCTGAACTCAAGGATGCACTATATATATAGTGTGCATATATGCATACATAAAGGTGCACGAGAATTTGTTGGATTGTGGCATGTGAGGGAGGAAAGCACCCGGGGCAGAAACACCCGGGATTTGGTTTGTCTCCTGAGAAGCTCATTGCGCGCGTCAGGGCCTTGGCAGATTGCCATGCCATCCCTTCCAGATAGGAGCCCGCATTGGTAGATTGGATCTTACCCAATGTCAGCTGCAGAGCTCCAGCTTTCGGAGGTTTCGCCCAAACTGTGTTTCAGCGTCTTGATGCCCGCACTCTCTGAACTGCTTGGAGTTCAAACCCAAAGAGGGGAACTGCGAGCCTGGCGTGCTAAGTGCGAGTGTCAGATTTGCCATTGATTTTGTTGTTACGAAAAGTTAGATCGCCATCTGACGGAAGCGAGCAAACTATCAATGATATTATATGCCTCGCCTCGGTTCCTGCACAATGCCTATTTCGAGACCAGGTCTGGCTTTGCATGTTAAAGATTATCCCTGCTTACCCTCCATGAAACAAGTAAGGACGCCAGCAGGGTGTTCTTGGTTGACGGTTTCTTTTCTCTTCCAATGACCTTTGCGTGTGCCATGATTTGCAGGGAGTGAAACAAAAGCAGTTTGAGCTTGGGTTCAAGGCAGTTGCAGCCTGCTGCTGCCCCACCTCCTTTCGCACCTCTGGGATGGGCCTGGTTTGGCGACCCCGAGCCTCTCGGCACAAGCTTTTGAGTCTCAGTGAGCTGGCTAAATGGCATCCAGGAAAGCAACTGTGTGTAAGGGCTAGCTGACCAGCACTCTTCCAGCATTTAGCTGGCAACACACAACTATCGTGCCAAAAGATTCAGTGCAGACCCAGGACTCAGTGGTGCATTCATCATTGTTGTTCATACCATCGCGCCACCAACCTGCCGCATGTTTGCGTAATTGCACTCCGTTTTTCTCTCCGCACATGTGGTTCTGGCACCCAGGGTCGGGCCTGTCGGGCAAAACGCCTTGGCCTTGTCGCCAGGAACTGGCTGGGGGCGCCACCTGGGCACGAGCCGGTAGATCAGGCGAGTCCTCGACATGGATCAACAGGTATCGAAATCAGGGACTCCAGGTGGTCGTTTTTCTTTGGGGGTCCCTTTGACTCGATCCAAGAAAGAAGACTAAACAAGACACCAATGCCACTGACAAGTTGGCAACAGCGCCGGAAGGCTTCATTGTTTGCAATGTATCGTTCATCACCTTTAACGCGGTTGCATACCTTGTTTTGCTGACTCCACTTGCTGTGGCTTGAGACGAGCCCATTGGCAGCCCTTTGTTGCAGCTGCTTCCTGTCCCCAATGCAAGCAAGTCGCGCCCACGCGCAGGTGGCAGCTGCTCGAGAGAAGGAGCTCAAAGCAAAGCCCTTTGCCAAGGCGCGACGGCTGCGCCTCAAAGTCCTTTGTTCATTCTTGTGACCCTTGGGACCTGAAAACAAATGGCTTGTCATGGCTTGTCATGGCTTGTCATGGCTTGTCATGGCTTGTCATGGTTTGTCATGGTTTGTCATGGTGATTTGTCATGGTTCTAGCGGTCTATTGCCCACTCTTTGCAGCCATTGTTCTTTTCAAGAACCAGCCCTTTTTTCAGGGTTTGTGGTGGTGTTCCAGAAAGAAGGATTCCTGGAAAGAATGGGGAAGATACCCCTAGAATGGTTCTTTGCTGGCGGCGGGTGCAGCCCCTGCTTCAAAACCCTGTGTGAGCAACAAGATTCCTGAGGCGCGCGTGGCTAGAACCAGAGCTGCCAGCACAAAGGCGCACGGTGTCGAGAATGCACCACTTGGCAAGATGCCCTCAAGAGCCTGCTAAGCTCAAGGTGTTTGGTTGTCAGTCTATTCGTGCTTATGCCATTGTTATGGCTTTCCTTTGACATTCTGGTGTTGAAACATTTGTTTTGTGTTGGTTCCGTTGACGGATTTCAGGTGCGCAGTGTTCATTCTTCCTTGGATTGTTCGCTGGCCAGGTAGGCTGCCGCTCATGGCATTGGCCCTTGGCGCGGCGAAGCGCCATTCATGATGTAGATTGACGGAAAAAGGCGGGCCAGGCTTGGAAGCTCTCACGAGGCTTTGAAGGAAGGGATTCTATAGGCGTTTCACTTTGGCCAAGGGTCTGTTTGAAGAATTCGAGTTCGAGAATGATGTTTGTCTTCATCGTTGAGCAGTCGCAGCCATGCACGCACAGCTGACCCTCCATGGGTTGGTTCCACGGCTGGCCAAGGTCATTCCGCACGCAGAGCTGGCGCTTGATGCGGCCGACGTGACCGCTGCTCACTAAGAGAAACGGTTGTCCAACTTGATTCAGCCTTGGAGGCGCTTGCCGACAGAACATATAATCCCCTTGTTTATTGCTCAATAAGCCATTCATGATGGCTGAATTCTGAGAAGTTGGCTCCCATCTTCAAATCGACCATGACTTTGCTTAGAAGAATCCAGACAATGAGCTTTGAGAGCTGGGGTCAGGTGCAGACTGCCCCGAAACTATTTGTCCCAACAGCTGAAAGCTACCCGGTTTTAGCGAAGATAAGGTTTGGGGGTGGCTTGGGGGAGCTCTGGAGTCAGGTTCCGGGGTGGGCTGGTGCAGGCCACGTGTAAGGTTGAAAGAAGGTTCCGAAGGTAGGTGTAAGGATGGTCGGGTGGTCTGGTGCAGGCCAGGTGAAAGGTTCAAGGAAGGTTGGGGTTCTGGGGTGGTTTGGCACAGGTCAGGTGTAAGGTTCAAGCAAGGTTGCAGAGGTTTCGGGGTCGTTTGGCGCAGAAGGTGTAAGGTTCAAGCAATGGTACCGAGCAAGGTTTCTGGATGGCATGGGGCAGCTTTGGAGTCAGGTTCGGGGTGGACTGGCGCACGCGCTGTGAAGCAAGGTTCCGGGTGTCAGGTTCGAGTAGTTACCGGAGGTTGCGGTTTGGTGTGAGGCCCGAGCAAGGTTTTGGAGTAGCAAGCTTTAGAGGTTTCAGGTCGGAGGTATCGGGGTCACGCGAAGGTTTCGATGTACACACACAGACACGCGTGAACTGCCGCAATGAGTGGGGCGATAGTGAGAGGCAGGCACATGGGTTTACTGTAAATGGAATGCTTGTTTGCGGATGGCCGAAAATTGCCGAAAACCATGAACAGCGGCGAACTGCCAAGAGCAATATTTTGCGAATTGCTTGCTGTTATTCGACTGAGGTGGATGATGGGTGGCTGGACCCTCTTGCCAGGGCCCTGGAATTCGAGTTCTGGGCATGCGGGGAGTCTCGGTTTTATTGGCCCGCACGGATGGTTTCATTCAGATGGCCAATTTCCAATTGGGTTAAGCTGTGTTTGTTACATATACCACTCCAGCAGGAAGTTCCAGCATTTGAAAGGGTTCTGAGTTTGATAAATTATGATTATAACTTTTCAATCTTGGCACCAAGCCTGGTTCGGCCTTGCGGGTACAGGCCGCCTTCCTGTCACAAGCCTGTGCTGCCCTGAGTTCAGCATCAAGTCTTGCAAATGTGTGTCGTGATGTTTTAGTCGACCTGCTCGTTGCAGACAGGGTTTTTTGGGGGGCATGCATCCTTTGGTGCAAGCTGCTTGTTTGCTGGGACAGCCGGAGTTGCACTCCCTGACTTGCAGCAGCAAACTGCCGTGAGGTGTGTCAGGGCTCGGTCTCAGCACCGGTTCTGCAGCGGAAGTGTTGCGTGGAGTGCTTACCCATGGCTGTCCGCCGTCCTTGTGCCTTGTGCAGGCTTACCATGCTTGCAGGCATTGTCTGCAAAACCGGGGAGCTACCTACTGGAGCACATTCACAGAGTAGTTACCTTTCATGGGCCCAATGTGGGTTGAGCACATTCCCCTTGCTAGTTGCATTTGGCTTCCCACACGCTGTATGTGATCTCCAGGCTTGGCAGGCAAGCCAGTGGTGGAGGAGTATGTGGCCTTCGACTCAGCGCGGCATTGCTTGTGCAAGCTTGTCGCCCACGCGCCAAAATATGTTCTGCAAAAGCTCGCGACGATTTGTTTGTCCGGCCCGGTGAGTTTGCTCCATGCGTATTTTGTTCTTTCGGCGGGATTGCCCGGAATTTCTTCAGGTGTCAACCAGGCTTGGTCCCTTGGCAAAATCACCGGTGACGAGAAGCTGAGGCCCCTGCTTGCCCTCGGGTGGTGCGCCGACGGCTGGTCGCAAGCGTGTTGCGCGCAGGCGTGTAGCGGCACCCTTGGTGAGTTGGTGCGAAAGGGAAACCGAAGGCAAACCACTTTGGTAGAAAATGCGGCAACAAGGCCTAGCTTTGGCACGATGCATTTGGGTGCGCAGAATGCTGCAGGCAGCACGAATTGCTGTTCAACTGCAATTCAACATATTGTTCCTTTGGGCTGTGCTGAGTTTGAACCTTGGCTTCGAGGTACAAGTGGATGCCCTGCACATCTCGCCCATCCGTTTGACCGTGGCATCCCTGGCAACGGCACTGTGCGGCAGAGTGGGGCCTGACCTCAGGTTTGGTGTTCCATGCGGCTGAGGAACGCCCCGGCCTTGGAGCCATCGCTGGGCACCTCGATTCTGCTTGCAACGCCCATGGAGTCCAAATATGAAGGCCGCACTGCATGAAAGAACTCCCAACCACTGACGGTTACCGCCTGCTTGCAAGACAATGTTAAGTCTGGGACTGGGTTGCCCAGAAAAGAACCGTCGTTTGTTGCGACTCGCTGAAGGCAAGCCAACACATGCCACGCACCACTGTCGCCAATCAAGCAAACCGTGGCTGTCCACTTTGCAGGTGGTGTTTTTGCCTAGCTATGCTGCGTCCTTAGCTGGACCCGGGAGCTTGCCAGGTGGAAGCTCTGAGATGTTTGCTGTCAATGGCCTTCATCCCTTGTCTCCGCTGAACACAGCAAGTGGCTAGAGTTTCAGCAAGGGGGGGCCTTGAACCTTTTCAGTTCAACCGGTAGGCCCAAGAAGATGTACGGTGAGTGAGAGAGAGAGAGAGAAGGAAATCAAGAAAGAAGGAGTGCGGTCATGACATGATGCAGATAACTGTAATACAATGCATGGCCAAAGGTGTCAGGGAACCATGCCCATCTTTGCTGTTGCCGAGTTGGCTCTTCCAAATGGTAGGCGTGTCCATGAAAGTTGCTGAGGTTCGTACGGCCATACGGCTGATAAGCCTTAGCGGCCGCTTCACCCTCGCCCACACCTTAGCTTGGTGCCTGAAGAGCATCAGTGCGCATGTTGCATGCCGCGGGACCATTTCATGAGCTGGCACCAGAGAGCCTCACCCCAATTGTCAGTCTACACAGTGTACGCATGAGCAACGCACATGTCCGAACTTGACTGTGCGCGAACAAACCCCAGAAAGCTTCAAGAGAAAGACCAAATGTCGGCACATTATTCATAAACGCCCTCTGATTAAACACGCCCCTTTCCGGCCCCCCAAAAAAATCACCCAAACACAACCAAAGCTATTTGCCAATACTTTTCCAAATTTTGCTCCTCAAGGTTTTCCATTCCAGAAGTCAAACAAAGGCTAGGTTATCCGAATACAGCACATGTCTTACTACAATTTGTCAACAAGAACAAAAAGGTTTGACAAGCTCGCAAAGGTTACCCCCCTTCAAGGCTAGCCCCTCCCCCCCAAAAGAATAAAAAGACTCCGTTTGACTAATCCTGGCCAGCCTGGAAAACAACACAAGCAGTTTCCTGTGTCTTTCCAATTGCAGTCCTATTGGCCAGACAGGGGTCCGCACAAGAAACGGCCAGAGAGGACTGGCCAGGTCCGGACCAATCCGAGGGGGCCAGGGGGGGACCCTCCAAAATCCGGACTTCCGCGACCTTGTCGACCTTGGGAGGGGTATATTAATCATGGCCACCATTATGCCCAAGCAACCTGATAGATGGTGGTGAAGTTCTCACACAAGTCCTGAATGAATTGCGAGAGGGGTGAGGCTGCCTCCGGAAGGGCAGTGAAGATCTACTTTGCGTTTTTGGGGACGCTTCCATAGTGCCTTGCATACACCCTTTGCCTTTCCAGACAGCCCCAAAGGGGGAGAACCGCCGTCTCGCCTGCCGCTATCAGCTCAATGTGCCTCTGAGGACGGAGCGACGCTTTCCTTGCCAAAGCGATCCCTGCCTGGAGCCAGGGGTGAAGGGGTGCTGGGTTGAGTGCTTGCATCGTACCATGCCATGCCCATGGATGGCTAAGGCATCCCTACCGCGGCTCCCTGGGAGACTTCCTCCGAAGCCTCGCAGCAGAGTATGCCGTGCTGCAGCTCAGTACCTGCATCTTGGGGTGCTGGCGTGTCGTAGTGAAGAAAACAGCCGATGGTAGCCCATGTGTGAGTGTGCCATGGTGAAAGCAACCCTTCACTGGGGTTGAGGGCAGGTCATCAAACATCAGGATTCCGGATTGAGCAGCACAAAGGAGTGCTGACCATGGCACATGGCGGGGTCAGCTGAAATTAAAAAGCCAACCCTGTTTGATCGCGTTGTAAGGGAACCGAGACGAAATTTGCTGGGTCGAGAAATGTCCTGGTAAGTAGCGAGCTCCCGATCGGGGATATAAAAATACACGCAATTCACCCAGCAAGGGCCCTTGCTTGTCTATGTTCCTTATTTCAAGTTGCTGAGTCAGAACAACAGTTACCTGATTAATAAGGTCCCCCCCTCTCCCCCCCGCTTCAATGTCGACAAGGTTTGGACATGTTTGGACAAGCACCCAAAAGTTTGATTGTTTGGAGGACCCCCGCTGGTTCAACTGGAGCCCTTCGGTCCTCGTGTTTAAACTTCAGGAACCTGGACCCTTTTCGGGCAACAGGACTTTAAATGGCCGCAGCAGTGGGTTGCTTTGAGCCCAACATGGCCAAAATGAATCGGGGGGGGTTTCTGCTGAGGGCGGGCTGGCCTTCAAGCGAGTCCCCTTTCACAAGCTGGAAAGCCTTCTCATTGTAAACCAATCCTTTGTAAGACACATGCATGTCTTGGAGAGGCGCATATTTTGGGAAAGCTTTGAGGGGTTTAATGCAGTAGTTCAAGCACAGACTAAGCAAATACTGAGCAAAAACGAACACCCCTTTTTGGCAGGCTTCGGTCTGCAGGGTACCTTTAATCTCGGGAGGGCGTTTTGGGGAGGCCCTAAAGTTGATTGGCTACTTTAGTATTGGTGGGAATCTGGGAGGGAAAAGGGCAAACCTGAAATCGCGAGATGTTACTACTCGTGTACTGACATTAGCTTGTGCAGGCCAATGCGCCCGAGCAATTGGAACCAGCAACGTGCCTCAGGGCCTCAACGTTCATCGAAAGAGAGGCGCCTCCCTTTAATAGCGTGGGCAGTTTTTAATCAAACCGTGTTTGGCCAGTGGAGTCCGTACAGTAGAGTCCCATGTTCAGTGCTGGACATCGGCTTCAAGTTGCTGTGGGTTCGACGATGTATTGAAGGTCTGTTGCGCAAGGCAACTCATCAATATGGATAGGCTCGCTTTTGCTGGCATGGGTCAGAGTTTGCCCCTCTCACGCGTTTCATGAATGACATTTAGCAAGGGCTCACTCGAACCAGATTCGTTTGTTTAATCTCCTCCGGCATGACAGAGAGGTTGGGGATGATCACGTTCCCTGGCAGGAAAGGTATGATTGCCAGAATGGCCGATTGATTCAAGAGGCCAAGCGTTGAAAAAACAGCTGGGCCGAGGTGAATTTGCTGCGGAATATCGGCAGCGTGCTGGGACGGAGCTCATTCTTTAAAGTGCCCGGCGCTGATGCTCGAGGAACTTTGGTGAGAGCGGGATGCAGGGAAAGGCCAGCACACTTTTGTATGAAAGGCCAAAGGAGTGTCCGTTTGGATTTGGGGACCCATGGAATGTGGTTCAAAAGGCCCAGACCACCCACCGTCCCCGGAACTCAGATTAGAAGAGGCCTCCAGCCAAGGCCGCGGGTTCCATTGAAGCTGAGTGGAACTGCCGTGTCTTACGCGCCTTGACTGCAGAAATAGCTTCAGACGTCTGCCTTTTGGAGTCTTTGAATGGAAAAAAATAGGCCGCTTGTGCGACTCAACTGCAGCCTTGAAAGTTGGACGCGACATGCAAATTGTTATGGCCACAGAGTTTGCCCCTTGATTCCCCCGCAAGTTGAGCTCAAGTGTAAAACCCTCTTGCAGCGGATCTCCTTGTTTTCCCGGAAAGGTCGCAAGGTAAACTTTGATTGGACTTGGGAAGCCCAGGTCACAGATGGCATCGGTTGTGGCCCTATCTTCGCTTGATCCAAGTCTCGCTCTTCAAGGCGTCATGGCCCCTGTAAGCCCTGAACACATATATGTGTTCCCCCGGATTCAGCTGGCATGGATTGACCTTTGCACTTGGCTTGGAAGAAAAAAGCGAGAAAACCACCCATGCTGGAAGGTCCCGCTTTTCGAAAACGCCCAGATGTGCAGAACAAGACCTATGGACACGGCTTTCAAGAATCTAAGCCGTTGGGTGCTTCGGCTCTGAGGCCTGGCTGCAGGCGAGGCAGCTGCGCTGCTCAACGAGCTCACCTTCGACCAGGACGAATCTGTGGCTTAGCTGTCGGTTTCCAGCCGAGATCTCACCAGGTCGCTCGCCCCGGGCCTCCGAACATTGGGTTCATGCCCAGAACGCCAGAGCACCACTGCACTGCCACCGAGCACCTGCACCAGCGCGCCGCCACCAACGCCACCACCACCACCACCACCACCACCCATGAGACATGACGCCTGGCAGGAGTTTGTGGAACGCCAACGGCACCAGCAAGGTGCAAAGCAGATCCGCGGGCAGCGGCCTCAGGGTGCTCGTGGACCTTGAGTTGCTGTGCTAGCAACTGACAATTCTGGGTATCAATCTGAGGCATGTTGTCCCACTGTCAAGTACTCAATGCTAATCCAGCTTGTCCGTTGCGTGTTTGTTTGTTTTTTCAGGGTTCCTTTGCCAGACGCACAGCGCAGGCTGGGAGATGGCGTGGTGGAGGCCAGCAAGTCCATCGCACAGGGGGCGCCTTGACTGCGTGTTATGTTCCAGTCTGCGGGGTATTTTCAAACAGAGGAGCCTCGCAAAATCGGTGGTGGTCCTTCTGGTTTCTTTTTCAATCGGGCTCTGCCTGTTAGAGGCTGTGCCGTGAAGCGGGGATCAGCCTGAAACAAAGAGACACAATTCAGAAATTAATGTCTCAAATTTGGAGACCTCCCCTTCAACTCAGAGTTGTCCGGTGCCAAGCATGGGCAAAAACAACAACCTAACTCCGCCCCAAACTAAGGTACATATATGTAGTGGCCATGTGGTAGTGGGGATACAAAGCATGCAACAAGACACGAGGTGGAGGGCCTTTTGGACGTGGCGCCGAGCTCAATGAAAGCAGTGCGCGTCAAGAGGCTGAAAGCCACAGGGGGCGTAAGCCCAATAAAAATACAATAAGGGCGTGCTGGGTGAGGGGATTTGGCCGTTGAGTTTGGACCAATGGGAGCAGATGTTGCATCAAGAGGGTCAGTAGATTGCGATTTCATGCCCCAAATGACCACCGGTAAAGAGGGCTTGCTGTTTCGCATTCTATGTGGTGTAAACAGAAGTTGCATTCCAGTACTGGTGCGTAGGGGCCTTGCGCTGCATGCATCCCCTCGCTGGCACTTGTTCGCCTTTTATGCGCTTGGTGTCCCAGGTCAAGAAGCCTGTTCAAGGCGTCGCGACCTCAAAGGCGATGCTTGCAAGAGCCATGCCCTTGCAACCGGTCCGGCTCATACCCTACGGGCAGCTTGCTTTTGAGGGTCTGGGAGCTTGCCTCAGGCCAGAAGCAGCGGTCTTGGCGGATTCCTGGCAGGTGTCCCAAGCCTCAGTACGGGAGTTGGGGCCAGCAGTTAAGTAAGATCCACCCAAAAACGAAATCATTCATGTTGGTGAGGTTCAGCACAAGGTCCCTGGCCTTGCGCAGCCCATGCACGTTGAGGTCGGTATGGGCGTGGCAGGCAGCTTTGTGAAGCCAGTGTCGCGGCTGGGCCAGGCAGGGCAGCCTGATATTCCAGTTGGAGCAATTCAACCAACCGGCAATTGCCGGTCACAACGCATCCGTTTTTTAGGGGCCTTTGGCATGTACTCCCGGATCAAATCACCACATGTTACAAACAGTTTGGGATCAGTTTGGGCTGGGGCTTCTGTGTTTGCTAAATTTGATACTGGAAGGGTGGACAGCATAGAGCCAGCCTTACCAAGTTTCGCAGTCACTGCTGTGCATGATGTGGTGGCTCAACTTTTGATTCAGCTGGAAGCTTGCCCTAGCCAGTAGAAAGGCCATTGAAGCTGCTTTGACGACTCAGGAGATACTAAATGACAGCCTGCTTGGTCGAACCTCACTCACCTGTTCTTCTGCTGGCCTTGGTGCCGAACCAATGCCTGAGCTGATTCCTGCTGACTCCCAGTACTGGTGCCATGGCATCCTTGAGGCGACTGTGGTGCATGTGCCTGCCGCGCTTTTGTTTTACCATGACCTGTTTGGTGGCACCAAGGCTTGGCTTGAGACAAGTCAACTCACGCGCGAAGGGCGCGCAGACAGTAGGGGCGGCAGGCGACTCCTTTAGCTGCCTGCTGTCGGTGCGGTACGACGGATCTTTTGCTAAGGGGTCCTATTACAATCGCAACGACCCGCGACAGGCGGAGAGGAACGGAACAGTGGAGGGGGTGCTGGAAGCAGCGCTGGAAGAGGTTCTGCAGTCTCCTTCAAAGGTTTGCCTCACCAGCCGGACGGACAAAGGCGTGAGCGCCGACATCAACTATTGCGCCGCCATACTTGCCATGCCGGACACGGATGAGATCTTCGCTCGTTCGCAGCAGACACAAGCTGAAGTGAACCGGTGGCTCGAATTCCACGGGCATCATTTGGAAATCCGCAGCCTTCAGCCTTTAGCCCCCAGGCTTCGATTGCCTTGGGCGGACAGGGGCTTTGTGTGCGAGTCCTTGGTCCGCTTCAAACGCTATGAATATTTCATTCTGCCCTCAGAAGTGGACAGCACCGGCATGGGGAACTCCAAGGGCTTAACCGCGTGGCACCTGGCAGGTGAGTTGAATATCGATGCTATGAAGGAGGCAGCGGACGCTTTTGTCGGGTGGCGCAACTTTTGGGCCTTCACCAAGAAGCACGGCTTACAAAGGAACACCACCAGACACGTGACCAATCTGACCATTCACACTGTACAGGGTGCACCCTCCACCAACTCATCCACTACAGAGCTTCTTTGCATCAGCATTTCTGCAGAGAGCTTCCTTTACCGCATGGTGCCTCAGCTATATCCGAATCTTTGCTCCTGTTCAGGGCTCCTGTAATTGCCATTGTAGGTGTGTCTTGATTGGTGTGTCTTGTTTGGGTTGCTCAAAGGGAAGCCAAATGGAGGTTTGGTTCCCCGCTTCAATTCACTTCAGGTTTCAGGGGGCCCATGAGACCAGCCCAGGTGCGGTACATGGTTTTTGCCTTGGTCCTGGTGGGCCTTGGGAAGGCCAAGGCGTCCACCGCTTCGTTGCGCCGCCTGCTGTCCCACAGCTGGCAGCCCACGTGGCGCCTTCGGAAGCTGCGGCTGAAGCCGGCACCGGCACACGGCCTGCGCTTGGCGGAGGTGCGGCTGAACAAAGGCGTCACCCGGGAGGAAGCGAAACGTGAGCGGCGGGGTGGCAGTGTTAGGGGGAGGTTAAGTAAAGGTCTTTTGAGTTGGGGGTTGGGCCAAGAGCGACTGTCATGTGTATACAGTTGAGGTATATAGAGCTCCTGAGATTTTACCCCAATCAATTGAGCAGAGTGGCTACATGCACTTGCAGAAGCGACCCTGAGATTTTGCTCCAAGCAAGCAGTGAACAGTACTCCTTCTTGTCTGTGGTGCTATCATTGCACATGTCATGGTTGCATATTATGTCTGGGAAAAGTAAGGAATATTCGAGATCTGTTTGTTCCCGGTAGCAGGGCGGTAGTTCTCTTGCGGGTTCGGGTGAGTGGAAGCATCGCCATGTTCGAAAAGGGATCCCTGGTCGGGGCTGGGCAGTTCAACACGTCCACACAAATCAGTGAGGGTTCCTTGCAGGATGGAACTGACCGCTGTCCACCAGCCACCAGAACAATCCAAACCGTGATGTTGCATGGAGAATTCAGATCTCGCCGTTCTGGTTGTTTTGTTCATGTTTGCAATTCAAACTTCAATGTGCATTTGCATTATGCATTTGCCTTGGGTATGAACTCACATTCACGTTGTTTTGTGTTTCAGCGGTTTGGGGATGGACTGGGTTCCGCCACACATGATATTCGTGCGTTCGGTTCATGAGTGAATAGAGGGCAGGAATCAATTTGTTAGGTGAACCAATGGCGTGACCGTGGTGTTGTTCGCAAGGTATTGCTTGGCCAGTGTCATGCGGCAATGGTGGCGTATGACATTATCAAGGGGAAGATTTGGTGTTGCAATGGCATGCTCATGTTTGTCGCATGTTTGCCATGGCGAACAAGTCTGGACGGCGCCGCCTTGACGATTCTACATGCGCTGACTCCTTTGCTGTCGTTAAGAATGCTGTGGCGTTCATGAAATCCTGTGTGTTTGGTCGCTGTTGGAGCCTTGCTCTCAACAAACTTGTCAGCTATCAAGCCAGTTCGTACACTGCAGACAGGCCATCTCCGATGTAGGTTCAGGACTTGCTGCAGAAGTTACCCCGGACCGGTGGGCTTGCAGAGAACAGTGAGCAACGAAGGCGGAGGTCGCATGAGGCATGCGAGGTTCTCTACTTCTTCGCGTAGGTCACCACATCAATGTTGGATGTCACGAGCCATGTTTATGAGGACCACCAGAGTTTTGGCGAATCCCCATGAGCAGGACTCCGCCCCAGCTATGCGACGCCGTGCTCGAACGAGGCTGGTGCATGCTGCTGCACAAGAATGGTAAGCCACGACACCATGATTCATTTGGGACCAAGGCCTGAGTTTGACTTTGGGGGCAGAGGGTGCTAGTACCCCTGAACCATCCTGAACCAGTGTGCTCGGGGAACAAAGAGGCAAGTACCATTCATTTAGTGGCGAGAGAATGGATGTATATATATCCAATGGGCCGCTGGGGGTAGTGCGTAGTGGAGGCTATAAAGAGTTTTGAAATCCATGTGTGCGAGATCTTGTGTGGAGCTCTTGGGGGGAAGGGTTGTCCAAGGCAGCGTCATCCGCGTCTTCTGTTTGGCCCTGCCCTGCCCTCAGATTTGATGCCTTTGAAGCACCAGTGCCAGCCAGTGCCTAGGTGCCCTGCGTAGCTGACCTGGGCGAATCAGGTGCGGCAAACTGGTATTCTCTTTGAAGGCAAATTAAAGTCATGATCAAAGGTGTACAAGGCAAAAGGTGGTAAAAGGCTAATAATTGTTCAGCCCCTCATATCATATTACCGTATATAACCTGCAGAATCTCTCAGCCACCCTGTGGTGGCGGTGCAGAAAGCACCTAGCCCTGCTGCATTCCACTGCGCATAGCAGACAACGACGATCACATGGACTTGGCTTGTTGCTTTGGGCATGCCGTTATCGTTGACATCCGATCCACGTCTTTTACATGACATGCATATTTTACATCAACTTGCCCTCGTGCGGCTCAGGAGGAGTCGTAACAATGACAGATACTGTGGAACAACGACAAGACAACATATAAACACTGACAATTTTTAGTTGTCCATCCCGACAGCACGTCTTTTCAGGTTTTCCATTACAGATCTGTCTATTCAGGTTTTCCTCAGCGCCCAAATCGGGTTTTCCTAGTCAAACGGCCGTTTGACTCAAAATCCATAGAAACGCGTTTTCCTAGTAAAACCGCCGTTTGAATCAAAATCCACAGATCCAGCGCCCAAATCGCTGATTAGTACCGAGACGGCCGTGTCCTAGTCAAGAAGGCCGTCTAACTCAGAATGTGCAGATCTAATGCGATTGGGCCAAAAACGTGCTTTGTCGAGCTTGTTTTTTTTGCTCGGGGTTGTGCTGAAGGTTTGGCGCGGTTTTAGATTTCATTGCCAGTCGTGGTTACAACCCCTCCTCAAACATTCGGCTCGTTTGTTTTGCGTCAATTGTGAGCCTTCGGGTTCCATTGACATGTCAACACCTGCTAAGTAACTCCTTCAGTTTCCATTGGCATAACTAGCCCACGTGCAGGACCCTGTTCCAGTCTCCCTCCCTGCGATGAATATCGTCGTGAGCGGCGCGGTCTGCCAGGCCAAGCTCCTCAGCTTCGGCCCTGGTCGCTCCTGGAGGCAGAGGTGCAGCAGCTTGGAACTGACCGCCAGGGCCTTTGGAGGGCCGGAGCGCCTGAGGAGTTGGTTCCGTTGTGTGGCTTTCTTGCGGTGTTCTTTTTTGTTTTGTGTGCATTCCAGTTGGCATAGTCTTCATTCATTGTTCTTTTAATCACCTTCCAGAAGCGGGGGCCCTTTGAAGAGGTGCGCCCCTGTTCACCAATCATCTCTTTTGGCGCCGGATCCCAATGAGTGAGTCTTTGGGGGGGGGGGGGGCGGGGGGGCATTTTGTACGGTTCTATGACCGAGAGAATGAAGTCGGCACCTGCGTTTGCTCCCCATGAAACTTGGGACCCTTTGCAGCCGATGGAGTTTTGTGTCCATTTGCCATGATCAAACATCAGCAAGCCCAGGCCAGCTCATATGCTTGAAACATGCAACGGGCCCGTCGGCTTCAATGCAAGGCCGTGAGGGGAGTGCGCCACCTGTGTGTTGCTCAAGACATTGGTTACCTGCCTTTTGTAGAGGAGATTACCTGGAGAAAAGACGCTTGCATTGAGAAAACGCAAGGGAACATGATATTACTTGGACCTAAGTTTAGATTCGGGGCACGGCGTAAAATGCGGGCTGCAGTGCCACTGCAAGGTTCGCAAGGGCGAACTGATTTGGACGAACAATAGCAGCCACAGCGCAAGTTGGCTGTCCTGTGGGCTGGCGCCTTCTAACCTTGCAAACACCTTCATTCCATCATAAAACGTTTGATCCCCGAAAGCCAGTTGGCATCCTCTATGAACATGGCCAAACCAAAAATGAGGTTCCCTTGTCTGCCAGGGTCACTGGAAAGTCATCAAGACGTTGTCTCTTCAGCTCAGGAGGTTGGACACATTGGGATCTGAGCGCTGAGGCCTTCAAGGTGTGCAGGAGGCCTGGGCGGAGGGGAGAAGGTTCCACAGGAGGTCGGCCCAGGCGCCAGCGGCTCCAGGTGTCAAACCATCCCAAAAGGGACTCCCAACGTTGCAACGAATGGCTTAACTTGCGAGATGCTGCATGTGTTCTTTGCGTGGGGCTGAAGCTGCTTTGGGATCGTGCAAGGGAATCTGCGGAGGTGTTGAAGGTCGTTGAAGGTTCGGGTGCAAGCGTTGTTTACTTTGTTTACTTGAGTTGGCCAGCCTGATTCTGAGAGTCTGAGAGCCAAGGTGAGTTTGTTTGAACAGCAGCCTTCCAACAGGATACCGTAATGTGAGAGCGTGACGATGACAAGCCACCCCGCAGCAAGCTACGTGTTGCGCCTTGGTAGAGTTGTGGACAAAGCCGCCTGCCGCAGCTTTTGGGCTGTGAGAGCCTTGCCTAGCCGCCTAGTCATTGGATGTGGCTGCCAACTCAGACATGGCATATTCTTCCATGCGGCAATGGCCAATGTTTCGAAAATGCTAAGATAAGAATGTGTGCAAGCTCTGGGTGGTGCTGCAGTAGCCTTGTTGTATTGCACTTGCTTGTGTAATGCACATGCAGAGACGTGAGACAACGTCAACACCATTCCTTTTGATGTCCTTTTGCACCCATCCAAAATGCCGCACCCGTTGACACATTGCTTAGCTCACAAGAGAACAGAGATTCAGAGCCTGTGCAGCATGGGATGCAGCCGCCTCTTGCAGGCTGGCTTCAGCGAGTCTTAGAACTCATGGTGACTGGCGGTCAAATGACTAGCTTCCTGCATGATAAAGCTTGCATGGGGACGCTTTATGTTTCCTAAAGCCAGCTGGCCATCTTCGCTTCGATCCTGCATCTTGCAAGACGGAATTGCGGTATCAAGCTCCTGCTTTGGCGCACACGCACTCACAGAGACACACCTAGCCTTTGTTGACTCGATGGCAAGGGTCAGGGGAGATTCCATGAATTGGGAATTCATCCATTTGTGTTTGTCTCTTTCACTTCCCCGCTTTATTCTCCCGACGTGGGCTTTGCAGTGAAAGTGTCGACCTCATCATTTTTCCCCCCTTCCCCCCCCACCCCCCCGGTGTTTGCTTTTGACGCTGTTGACCACACGCTGTGCGCAAAGGGCAAGTGCAGGGCTTGCAGCACAAGCCACCAGCCCAAAGATGGCTCACTCACGCAAGGTGCTACATGCGCTGCAGGCGCAGCCGAGGAGGACGCAGACGAATTGGAGCTTGAGCATGCAGCATGGCTTCAGCTCTGACACAGGGGCTGGCAAGTGCCAACCTCTTAATCCTGTTTGCTGATGCCAGGTTTTAAGGTGTCAATCACCTGTCATGCACATGCGTCTGCATCAAAAGTGAGCTTGCGTATTTTGCAAACCCCCATGGATCCAATCACTTAATATTTGCGTGAAGTGCGTGTCTTGAGGATGCAGCCTTACACGAGGAGTTGCAGAGGCAAGTTCCAAAGTTGTGTCTTATGCAGGTTTTCGATACCAACTGCTGGAGGGCTGATAACTGCTCTTACCTGTTTTATTTGTTCGTGGAGAACAGTGTGTGAGTGTGTAATTGTTCACCATTGTTGCCCCGCCTCCTTTCCAAAACGTGTTTCCATTTGTTGTGTCCCAGACGGCCTGCCCATGATTCCGAATATGGCTCCACTGCCCTCACACGCTCACGCTCCTCGCACCGCTACCCCCAGGGCTGAATGCGGCTTTCTCTTGCGGATTGTTTGGGGGTTGTGAAACCACCTCCGCTGCAAATGAGCCCGGAAAGGGCTCCTCATTCCCTGAGTTTCTGGACATCATGCTTTTGGGGAAGACCATTCTGGAATTCTGCAACTTTGTCTCAAGTGAGAATCTGCGAATCCGTACGCCAGGCTTCTGTCCCAGGCGCGGGGCTTGCGGCAGGAGCTGCGCTCTGCCCGCGGCACGCTGCGGGCCAGCCAGCAGGAGGTGGAGGCACGGGTCGGTTTGGCTGTGATGGTTTAGGGGGAAATTTGGGGAGTCCAAGGTCCAGGTGGAGTCATCTCGAAATGGGCTGAACCCCCCAAAATGGGTTTGGTTTCCTTTTCGGGATTTTCCTTGGGCACAATCCCAGAAAGGGTACCTCACGCCCAGAATAGGCGTGACTGCCAATGTCCTAAATCTGTTGCGAGAAAAGGACGGAGCCAGGCCGTGCTACTCCGGAAGTCAAAGAGCCATTGCACCAAATGGCCGCTGTCAGCTTGCACTTCAGAAGAACCAGCTGCGCTTCTGAACAACTTTCAGGGGAAGCTCGGTTTGAACGGTTTTTAATCGAAATTGTTTTTCTCGATCGTATCGGCATTCTGTCAACTTCCGACAGTGAGGAGGTTGGCCCGCACAGCCGCAAGTGCCGGCCACTTCGCAGGAGCGCTCAGCCACGCTGCTGCAGTTTGCCCAAGCTGAAAGCAGCAGCCCTAGCATTTTGCCATTTGGCCACCTGGGCAAAAGATGTGTCGCTTCGAACGCTTTGCCAGTCGATTGTATGCCAAGAGCTGGTCAGTTGAAAGGAGGGGATTTGTCAGGCCTTGCCAGCTTCGACGCGACACCAAACTTGCAGGACCAAAGTGATTGCCAGTGCATGCTGCGGCCTTGGCGCACAAGCACAGTAGCAGATTTCGGTGCTTTGCGGCCTATCTTTGGCGCACGTCGCCGCCTTCCCCAGGAGGCAGAACCCAGAGCCGCGCAGCCCCGCCGCACGCAGGCAGGAGGAGTAAACCTGACGGATGAACAGGGGGCAAGTTACGCCGTTTAGCCCAAATCGAAGTACACATCCCTTTCGATTTGGAATCCCCTATTGATTCATTTTGCGGGCAGTCTCGATTAGCTCACAGTCGATCTGAAGACCTTTGCAAGCAAATGCCATGGGCTGTTGCCTTGGCGTTCTCTTGTGCTGCAGGCATCTGCGGCAGCGGTGAGGAGCCCAGGTGTTGTGACTGCTGCGGCTGCACCTTTGAAAAAGCTCATCCTTCACTCAGGGCGCAAACACATATGCAATTCCGAAGTCCTATTCTTGACTTGATGTTTTTTGTTTCCTCAGCTGGATGTGTATGCCGGTGAGTGTCACGGTGGCCAGAGCCGGCTTTGTAGAGCAATCCCATTGAGAAAGCCTTTGGCAAGCTTCAAGGCAAGCTACAATGTCATCCCTGCACATTAGCAAAAACATTACCTTTGGCCGGTGACCAAACCAAAGACAGTAAACGAGGGGCAAAGCAAGCTGCGTGGATCAAGCAACTTCCAGGACCTTGACTTAACAAATGGTTTGTTCAGCGACCTTCGGTGGGCTTTGTTGGCCGCCACTTGACAGTCAGCGAGCCCCTGTGGGCCTGGCGTTGCTGTGAGCTCACGGATCACGCCGACAGGATGCTGTAGCACTGGATGCGGCTGCTGCTGGCATTCCGCTAGAGGTGCGCGGTTGGCACGGAGCAATGTTTTGTGTGGAAATCCCTCGGTGCCTTTCCAAGCAGAACTCCTTGATTCGGAGGACTAGACCCCCCCAATATGTGTCTCCATGTAGGACGCTATGTTTCAACCACATTACCTGTGTCAATCACATTACCTGTGAACCCAAGATGTTTAGACCAAGAGGTTCCCCACCCTGGAGAAAAACACAGACGGAAGATCAGCATTTTGATCTATGTTACCCGAATGCCGGGTTGGTCAAAATGAATCCTTAATCCTTATAGCGACGCCCATGGCAAATCAGAACGTGGCACCCTGAGGATCACATGTGCCACGCTTGGCTGGGCATGCTCCGGGAAGACAAGCCCAGCTCTGCCGCGCTTCTGCTGGCTGAGGCTGGATCAAACGGGCAGCTTTCAACATGTCAGCAGTGACCAACACGTCCCAAGCCCCACATTGGGCATTTCAGCAAGCGCCAAATACAAAAATTAAGAATTACATGGGTTTGGGCGCTGCTCATGTTTGTGAGGCTCACAGACACATAGCATGGAAGATACCACCCAAGATCACGAATGGCCAGCCCGTAGAAAGGTTGCCCCGCCCCGCACCCCGAAACCCTTCAGACCCTTCAGACCAACCCCCAACAACCCCCCCAAGTGGCCAGGTGGAGTGCGACGCCTGGGAGGACCGGCTCCAGGCGCATTTGGCGCCCTCCGCCCTCGGCAAGCCCCGCCGGGAGGGTCTCGAACGCTTGGACCTCGAGCTCCAGGCCTGGAGGGCAGAAGGGAAGGCGAAACAGGCTCGGGGGATGATTTTCAGATGCAAAAAAACGGATCACTTCCTAACTTTTTGAGTTTGGACCATTTTGGTGGTACACAAACACTTCGGTTGCTTTTCTTGGGCCATCCAGGCAGGAAGTGAGTAGGGCAAACAAGTTACTGTCTCAGTATGCTCTTATGACATTGCTTGATCTGGTCTTAAAGTCGCAACAAGATTCTAATCGGTGACGCAGGCCCTTGCAGCAGTCCCAGGCAGGTGCCAAGCCTTCCATTCACGTGGAATGCGAATCGTTCAAGCAAATTTAGATTTGGGTAACTCAGCAAGGCATCAAGTTAAGTCTTTGATTATTTTTGGACTGTGTTGCGGAATCAACAATTCTGTTGTGGTGGCGGGTTGCAGCTGTTGTGTTTCGTGCGGTATATCTCACTCTTGCGGCAGGACCTGGTTCTGGAGGAGCGTATGCGCAAAATCAGCGCCTCGGCAGTCCGCTAAAATCCCCCCTGCCACGGGCCTGCTGGAGGATGCGTCTTGTTAAAGAGTACTTTGCAGGCCTTCCAAGTACAGCCAAGCCTAGAGCAGCCATTTGTGTGTTGATGCCCTGGCAGCGGCAAACTCCACATGACCTGACTCGAAGCAAAGCTTTTTGTGGGCAATTCCTGTGTGGTGCTTTGGCACATAGTCCTCCGCTGGCTCCGCTGGGGCACTCTCGATATGTTTCTGGAGCAAGCCGGACGCGATCTTTGAAATGCTTTGCCTTGGAAAGACGCGTCTCCACAGGCAGTGA